TTCTGTTGCTCCGAATTTGTTGATCCTGACTAGCTGTAACAACAAGGCAACCCAATGATAGGTTGGGTTCAGGTGACTCCTTAATTGATGCATGCTCTCCTGGTCGTACGTGGTTCATGTATTGAGTCAGACATTTCCTTTGGACATTAGCTTCACAAATCACGTCACCAACCCTTCTCCATACGACACTAGCTACCCAGACAGATCCCACTGTCGAACGTTTATTGAATATACTGGTGGTCTTTTTGGTAGTTCATGGTTAGTGCTCCTAACCTCAAGTTTACCAACCCACACCACTTTCTGTGGGCACATGTATCTTATTTGTCACTTGTGAATGATTTCGTACTGGTGTGCCAACTTTTTATACACCTTTCTGATGAAGTTGCGAGGATAATCACTTCGATTTTCCCGGTTCCTCTAATTCCATCATGTAGAAATTTGGATCGATTTGCTCGAACGGCAAAAATTTAATGATAAGATTCAAGCACTTAAAAACACAAAACAAAGTTTTGATCTTTTATTAAGAACACAAAAGAATTTGACTAAATATATCTTACTTGATTGATTGAATTTGCAGCAGAACTGGTTAGTGTAGTTCCAAGAGCTAAACAAACTGTAGTCGAATAACAATTTTCTAGGAATTCAGGTGATACCATACTAGTAGATGCTGCTAAGCCACAACCGACTAAAGCAGTTGAAACAACTAAACCTGTAAGACGAGCCTTTGAAAGACCTGCAGCAATTGATGCATAATGTTTGAAAAGTAGGACAGCAGGTGGTTGAGTTAAAACCAGGTCCACTGTAGTTGGGCATGGTGTTGATGATGAGAATGATGATGACGATGTTACTAGAGGACTAGAAACCCATTTATTAACTGAAGTGCTTCCAAGTGATTGGGATTTTTCAGCTGTGCAAAAGTGATTTTTACATTCTACATCAACAGTACTTGTATCTGCTGGTAAACAAACATACATTACCAAAAACACTGATATTTCTTTTAACATAAAACAAACCTTAAACAATCAATAATTATAATTTTGATTAGGCAAACAAATCACCAGTAAATATTAAGATTGGGCTTCAGGAAAGACAGATACAATATAAAACATGGTATAATAGTGTGTACTGAATCAATCTAAAATACTTCGACATTATAATAATAGAGAACCACCAACAACAGGAAAGAAACTGTATAAATACCAGTAGTATTTATGGCAGTAAGTAAAAGTTTAAAGTGGAAAACCGACAGATACAAAATGAGACTTTATACATAGCTTACAATGCTATGGTAAATGTATTCGAAACAATTATGTTTGACTAGGTTTAAAAACTATCACTGTCCCAACAAACACCAAGATTGTCAGAAGCTAGTTGTCTCAGCAGATAAATTGTGAATATATATGTTCTACAGTCTTATATAGTTTAGAAAGTCATTTTCTGTTTTAGGCTCAATGAGTGTTGGAATGAGTCATATTGTGGTGTGAGCTACTGATGTCGATAGATATAAGTAGTATGTATCATCAATGAAAAGTGGGATGCCTGGTGGTAGAAGGTTAAGATCGGGGGAAAGAGAACAAGAATGATTAGTGTGGAAACAAATGAACAATGAAGTCTGAGACAATTGATTGACATTTTGCAGATGAATAATTTACTGTATGGTTTTCAGATTTTACTAAGAGATTCTGTGATTTTGTGTTCAAATACATTTCATTGTCCCCACTTGTGTTGTCGTTCGCTAAAATATCAGAGGGCGTAGATCTGTTGGTTAGGGTTCACAAGATAGCTGTAAGGTTGAGTAATCAAACTAAACATCAGCAAGAGTATTGCAGATATATTTAATCTTTAGCTCACTCTAAATCTCAAGTTTTTACATTATTTCATGCTAATCGCTAGCATATTTTATCAGCTTCTTTCAAACGCCTACTTCTTTTTTTACTTTTACCGATACTATAATTCTTCCAACTTATTTGATTTATTTTGGTGTGATAATGTGTAGTACGACCTTAAATTTGTAAGAAACTACGGGTTCAATCTCCGATTCACATTGATGTGTTAAGCTGGATATCACAAGGTACCACATAAATTGTGGTCAAAGAGGATGATGTAGGCCTGTAGTTGACAAATGAGTTATATTTGTCCTAAATCCTACGTCTTGACTAGTTTCGTCATGAGCGAGGAACATAATAAAATCGACGATTATTAAAATTTCCTTGATATGTGATCCGTTAAACGTTATTAAATAAACGATAGCATGCTAAAATAGACATAAATTAAGTAGAATTAAAACTTTCAAATCGTATTATTTTAGTATTGCTTACTTTGATCAGTTAATGAACCAGGTAACTGATATGATAGTGATTCAGACTGTGGATTCAGATCAAGTTTACCACTCTAGAATAATGGAGATACATTAAAACATAGAGGTAATTAATAATTTAAAAGTAAACTGATGGTATAAGAACTAGGAAAATTTGTTCAGTAGTTATGTGACATTCGCAAATTATGCTCAGCGAAAGACAAGATGCTTTATGGTTATACAAATTACAAGATTTGTAGCATATTATTGATTTAATAAATTGTATTTCAACATACTATAGTATACAGATTGATGTACCTCAATCATTAATAATGTGGGAATTGTGGCACGAATATATTTAAGCTCGATTTACCACACACCACGTAAGAAAGCTAGCGATGAAATTGATAAGCAAAAGAGAGAAGTTAGTCCCAATATGGACGGTCAAAGAGTGACACTAAATTCTGAATTTCGAGGAAAACAATGAAGGCAAACGAGACCTCATCTACACAATATTATTCAACATCTCCAATCATTGACCATGAGTATTGTTAAGGTCCTAATGAGAAATTTCGCACCTAATGATGTATCCTAGACTAGTAGTCAATGGTTGTGTGGGTTGATTCCATGTCATAATCTGATTACCTCTAGAATTCTTCCAACCTACTTCTATCCCAATCAACATTCAGAGTCTAGGTAGATAGTAGTTGTGTATACGTTACACACTCCTCTAATTCACTTAGATCGACAAAGATTCACAGCCTCACCAATCGATTTAACATCTTTGTTTAATGTCCTACTTCTAACCTCAGCATTGCTCACTCCATTTTTTTCTGCGAGAGGTAAGAAATGTTTCAATGACAACTATGACCAAATACTTGCCGTATATGGTTGTCTCCTTCCTTTAAAAACCACTTTTCGTGGCTGCAGATTAGTACATGGAAGGCCGCTCTGTAATATACTCGTCCCTTAGTTGATAGACGGATATCTCATTTATGCTGGACCAACTTCGTTTTTCTCTTTAAACTATTCAAATACACATTGCAATTCTTTTGAATAATTGGTATAGATAAAAATACTGGGTACAAAACGTAATTTTAAGCTGAACAAAATTTAAAGTTGATATAGTTATCAGTGCAAATCATGTGATTATTGATGTTATGATTTATCTATAATGGTAAAGATCCCCTGACAGATTCCTTGTAATTTTTGAGACATCTCTGCTAAATATTGATGAGGGATTAATATAACGTGGAACGTAAAATTACTATCTGTCTATTATTGTCGCCATTTCAAACACAGAAAAAGAAGTCCAAACTTAGCCCATTAGCTATATGAGGCCGATTGAACAGTCGGGTTTAGATTTTGTATGAGTGTTTTAAAAACAAGATATACATTTGTGGAACCGAATTCTGACTAGTGAGACCTGTTGTTTAACTTGATCTGTGGTCGGAACATTGAAGGATTCAATAGGCAGTTCGGAACAGGTCGAGAAAACCAAAGAAACCATTGTTGAGAGCTCCATTTACAAACAACAACTTCATAAGGGGAAGATGGTCCTGGAAAGAGAGGTCGACAACACAAAACATGGGATACGACCAGAACTCATAGTGAGAGAAATAGGCATAAGTTTTGATGAAAGTACATGAGCAATCGACGCTTTTCTATTGCTGATACTCAGAAGGGTTATTTCTTAACAAAACCTGAAATGAATTCGAATTAGTATTAAAAACCTTGACCTGAGAACCTAACAGCAGAGCCTAATGGGTACCTGCTCAAAGCCAGCCATAAAATGAATTACAATGAGCAAGCCCCCACTTCAGTAATGTAGTAGCTACGAACGGGACTCATCATTTACTTGAAGAGGAATCACTCTCAACGTTCACATCCAATAGGTTTTATTTAGCCAATGAGTCAAACTTTACCAGGTGATGTTTTTAATTTTAAACTATCTATACTATAGTCTGATACCACCTTGAACGTTGTATGCTAGTACCAGCACAAAACAACTTGGGAAGCAATTATTCTGAAAAATGAATAAGATCTCCCGTTGTACATTTTCGACATTTTTCTGAAAAATAGGGTCACAGTCAGAGTTTTTCAAAAAACTCATCCGCCTTGAAGATTAAACTCTGACATAACTTCGAACTTCCGACTATACATGGTTGTAATAATAGCTTAATGTTATGAAAGTCGATGAAGCCAAAGTTATTGAGATATGTTTAAAATAAGACAACTTTGCAACTAATTTAATTGGACAGGGGAACACTAGATACATATGCGCCACACAAATCTCATTTGATTTGTGTAGGGGCTGTGATACTGCCCGTGTGCCCAAACCGAAGCAGGTAATAAGTGAAACTCAGTCAAGATTCAATGCCGAATATCTGGATTTTAGATCACACAACCTGAAGATCAGTAAGTACGAAAAACGTGTTTGGAATTGATAATTTAAAAAGTTATCATCAGATATATATAGTATTAACTAAAGCTACCTTAATTTGAGAACAGGTGGATAGTACTTTCTCATTTAAATTTCTCTTACGAATTTCGGGCAAAGTAGTTGAAGGCAGCTGACAATAAGAATGTATTGAAAACGTTGTAGGTGAGCAGAGAGATAGGGATCGATGAGTATTAAGAAATAATGTGATTTGTAAGCATCGAAATTTCTTTACGAAGGACATTTGGATGAAACAACAAAGTTTTAATGAGAAGAACTGCAATTACAACAGTCTTCCAGTAGTATTTGTGATAAAATTGGAATTCGAGGATCAATGTCTGTCTGCCGATTACGTGACTCACAGTACTGACGAGCTATTTGGATGATAGCAGGAAACTTAGTACCCAAAGAAATAAAATCTTCTGAATTCGGACAACGAGTAAACAAATGTATGATAATAGTCAGCGAATGTACAACAACTGTGGAGTCTGGAGATGTAGTACAAGCTACAATACACGGTAAATGTATGTGATTGAGAATTTCTTGACGATTTAGAGGTGATGAAGCCGAAAGATTAGATAAACCTCCAAGAGCAAATTCAACTAGGCGAGCTTCGCCTTCATCAACTTTCAAATTTGATCCGGATTGGAAGGCTGAAATACAAAAATATGTCAATATAAATAAAACGAATTTTACTGGAATTATTTAAATGTCAATGTTCCTTCAAAATGAGAATATTCTATATCTTCAATAGCGTATGATTACTACTAGTGAGTGTTAGCGAAATGAGATAAAACCATATGTTCATATGTGCAAAATCTATTACAATGCATCTTTAGTAATACAGATTATCTCTCCTATTCAGCTAAACACTATAGTCCTTTACGTAGTTAGTCAGACATAAGCAACGTAGAACTTAGAATAAATGTGTATAGGTGCTGTTGCCACACTACTTAGCACAGAGAAGTTATCAAGGTGGACACAAAAGTACTAATTTTAACTGTCTTAAAAAATGCCAAAATAAAAGTACAAAACATGGCCAAAGGAGAAGATAACATAATTCCGAAACTCAGGATATATGGAAAGACAAGAGTCAATGGACCTGCACCATTGAGATGAATTCTAAACCATTCCACACAAAGTTTCAACCCACTGGTTAGAATAACTATGGGAACACCTGGTCAGTCAATCAGTCATTTACAACGTAGGACCAGACACATATATGCATCATTTCAAGTTGCCACACCTCATTAACACAACAAGATGAACACCAAATTCATAGAAGTAGTTACTTCATTGATAGTAATATATAAAAGAAAGATTGTGTATAAGCATATAATACAGGAAGAAAGAATTAATTTGTAGAAATAAAGGTATAAAGCAATTTTAATCTCACAGTTTAAGGGAAGAGAGAGTGTGTACACCTACGCCGTTGTGATCGATTCTCAGCCATATCATCCACAGTCTCCAACCATTGGTTATGATAGTCGCCCGGACCCCAACCAAGTAGTATGCATCTACCAACATCGCTCAGGCTAGAAGTTAGTCACTGATGCCACATTTTAGTTTGGCCGCCCCTAACTTTCTTCCAACCATCCCCAACACTAGTCAGCATTGAGCGTCGTGGTAATCGGTGTTCAGGTATATGTAACACGTGGCTCGACCATCTCAGTCGATGAAGATTTGCAACCTCATCAACTGATTTACCATCATTCTCTAATACCCTGAGTCTAGTCTCACCATCACTTACCCGGTGATCCAGCAGATGTGAGCAATATTTCTAAGATATTTATGATCAAATACTAGTAAATTACGAGTATCTTTTACCCTTAATGGTCACGTTTTGCAGCCGTAAAGTAGAACAGAACGAACTGTTGCGCAGCATACTTGTCCCTTAATTGACAGACGGAGTTCGGTCTCACACGACCTTTTTGTGAGTTTTTGTGTTAGCTCCGTACTTGTTGGGACATTACCGCAGGAAACGGAAATCCGTGGGATAAGGCGATATACGCATTTTTAGGGTCGACCTATTCGAACTCCACTCATCCTTGTGGGAAGGCAGCAGCGCTGTTATGCTGATTGTCTGAAGGGAACACCTTACTGCCGTCACACATGTGTACTGTCAGCAGTACGACTTCGCACTCGGAACTTGGGTCTGCTGCTTTTAGTTTTACTGCCCTTCAACCGACCTGTCTGGCATGGTAGAACCTTGAGGAACGATTGTTCCAGCCACAATAGCTGGATTGGTTCATTGCGATAGGCCAACAGCTAATGGCTTTACAGACTGATGCTGTGCTAGGTTTAAACGCTCCAAGATTTTTTCCGACGTGCCCCTACGCCAGCAAACATTCCTGGTCAAGGTAGACGGTGGTTGGTCGTACGTAACACATGTCCTAATAGCCACATTCGACTAAGATTTACAGCCTTAAAAACCGGTTTGCCATTCATACCTAGCCTCCTGTATCTAACGTTAACACGGTGCTCCATGGTTCCACCATGCGCAACACAACGCTCTAAGAACATTTATGAAGAAAATACCCGTAGTTTACGGATGTCCTGTTTTTGAAGACTGATTTAGAGCAATATAATAATATATAGTGAACTGCTGAGCTGTATGCTAAACTTTCGGTCGTTAGATGTACACTTTGTTTATGCTACGAGTGATGCAAGTTCCCAGGATCCAGACAATCTCTCTGAAACCGTGCTGATATTTCGCTAAGCACCAATTCATTATGGCTAATGAGGATTCTGAGATAAGTAGACAACGAGGTTAATTACCTCCTACCGTTTGTTCAACATTGACCAAGACCAATCCAAAAGACGAGCGTCCTGGATCTGTATTGACATCTCGTCATAAAAAGTCAGGCGTTTTCCACCAATATATGCCACTTTCAAGTGGAATATTCCATCCATTTGGCTTATACTGAGACATTTGATGTATCACATTTTAAAGCAGCAAGTTCAGGATACGTTGAACGATGGAATAGGAGGGCTAAAAATGATGCAATGAGTAACAAGTGTTCTGTAGATGATGTTACAATACATGCTGGATAACAGGTATGACTAGAATAGGTAATAGTGATAAAAGGAAAAGGTACATTGTCAGAAAACTGAACAGAACGTTTGTGATAAATGTGTCAAATGTGAGTGTGAAAACAGATGAGAATTAATTTCAAAATGTATCGTTAAAGACCGCATACAAAGATGGTAATGCGGCTGAGTGTATGTTTTATGAAGCCGTTAGCACATTTTTGTCATGAAACATATGATACCCACTGTAAAACTATACCCTGGCTACCTCATTTTAGGTAGACACGAAGTAATACATGATTATGTAATCAATCAATAAGAATACACAAGCACATGCCTGGTTTATTTTATCCTGCATATCTTTGTTCAGCCATCATATTAGAGACGAATCGATATAAACACGGCGAAACTATAATTTATGGACGAACCAAGCAGATATAAGATTACATGTGTTAATTTTGGCGTGCAGCCCATCCATTTCGGCCAAATAGCGTTTTAGAACTTTAGCTGATGTCAGTTCGTGATGAAAACCCTAAATCTAACTCCTCACACTGATTTATAGCCCTCAGTACTAGTTAGTAAGCGGATATGCTCAAAGTTACTAGCGTCGCTCAAAGGTCGTAAATTATAGTTTCAACTGGAAAAATAAAAATAAAGGCAGCAGAAAACTAATTTTGAGATGATCCTAGACAAATATATATATATATATATATATTTATATATATATAATTAAACTTACCAGCTTTGAACCACGCACTTGATGGTTCTAAGATACAGTCGAAAAAGAGATCAATGACGCGCAATTGACGAAGTTGTGGGCCGTTCCGAGAGTCGTAGCAGAAATTAGCAAGATTGGCTAAAATCTGAGCAATAAAAACTAACAAGTACAAACCTGTTCCTTGTGTTCCGTTATTCCAGTTTGCTGATATTCGCTAACCAAATTCTGTAGGTACTGAAGACGGCCGAAGCTCCCAGGAACAGATCGATTAGTACTTTTACGTTGATTTATGCTTGATATTTTATTGTTTTTCTTGAAAACCATGTGACCTTAAGACGTGTGGCGGATCTCTCATACATGGCGCTTCTGGGGACACACCAACATACCATCGAACGGAATAATTAGTAATTTTACCGATAAGTATTTAAATTTATTTCTGTGTAGAATCCTGCCCTTTAATCTCCGTCAGACATTCGGCTGTAAAGCAAACGCATAGACCCACTTAGAAGTCCACAATATAGTTGCCTCCTCGCTAAAAAAAGACATAAATCTCTTGAACCAGGTACAGAGAATAGTGTAGTAATATTGGTTTTCAACCATCCGAACCTTGAAGACATATACACAATAACTCAGGATATTTGCACTTGGAGAAAGTTGGAAAAATGGTGAACGCAGGAACGCTTTACCAGCATGATATGGCTCGTCCATGCTGATGTGGGCACTCTATGTGACATTTTTTGTGCAAAATACATTACTCTATACCCAGACAGAATTCTTCTTTCACAAGTTCTAATCATCACGTAAGATCTTATAGATTGGATGACAAATCTGCAATTTTGGGATTAGGTCCGTTATTCTGGCATAATTGTGAGTGCACTAATACGAACCCAGACCATAATCCCACGAAGCTAACTAAGTGAGTGTTAGGACTAAAACACAAATCTTCCGAAGGCAGACTCTAACAACTGTTATTACTGAAGTTGAATAAGGAGGTGATCTTACAATAGCATACAATATATTAAGTACACTAACCCGCGTAATGAACGAGTCTTCTGCCAGAATATCATCGCCAAGCTCCTCAAGGCAGCCGTCGAAAGATTGCAATTTAGAGAGCGAACACCCAGGTACGTTCTCAATATTTTTCATTAAGTTACCCTCAGTTGTAGTGCTCTCCCAGACGAAGTGACCATGGTTCGCTCAACAGATGGCTTTAAGAGGAGATTTGACAGACACATACGCTTCCATGGACTGCGACCGCTTAACTTCTAAACCACTGAGCCAACATTAACACTGCTGGACGAAACGGCCGTCCAGTGCTCCTAGGTTTTCAATGGTGGTTTGACTCAGACTCATGGATTCAACAGTTAAAATACTCTAATCTCCCTAAATCCTCACTTCTATACTGTTTTTTGTTTGAGATCGTAAACTTTTGCTGGTATCTATCTAGCAACTCATATTTCACCATGATCACGCATAACTCACATAAGCAACGTGGATGTCATTTTGCCGTCACCTGTAGTGTTCAGTGTGGCAAATACAAAGGTTGATTTCACGAAGTATGCACAGATCTTAAGGTAACTTCTTACAACATACTTAGTAATTTCCATAAAAGTTGGGTATGTGGCACATGCAACATGAATGCTGGAGATCCCCTGAGCAATATCATCGTTCTCTTGACAGACCTGAGAAAAAATCTCTCAACAGCCTCGAAAAAGGCACTCCTGAAACGGATTAACAAAGACGCACAATGAAGCAAAGAAGAGGGTCTTCAGCAAAATTAGTATCGGTGTGCAGTTCACTGACACCAGTGATGATATGCTGAAACCCAACACCGCCATAAAACTGACAGTATGTACCTCGCTCGGCAAACTTGTTTCTCTCAGCACAGACTCCCTAAATGCAGCTGTGTCCCTCAAACACTATGTAAGCCTTTTTGATTGAGACCAATAATCGATCAATGTTAGCTCACCACTAAACCAGGAAGGATTAGGCGGCTGTTTCGTCTCATTATGTGACTACCCAGCAGTACGCATTCACGACCCCAAACACGGGGTTAGAACCCAGGCCTTAGGTCTCGAGCGCGAGCGCTTAGCTTCTGTGTGTGACTAGGCCCCTGCCAACAGGGTTAAAAAGAATCGAGTAACACCATCGAAAATGCCGGACATCCCAGGTCTGATAGAAAGATCAGCTAGTGCATTTGCCTTGCAATGTACCTTTTGGATTGTCCAACCAGTCAGCAAAGTTCACATGAATCCGAAACGTAATCCAACTGTCAAACGAAGAAAGACCTCGACCTGACTGTATTCGAAAACCTGGGAAATCGAATACGGTTCGACATGATTCTTTAATAATCATGAACCCTGATGAAAGCTTTGTCCTTCCCTTCAGTCTGTAGGGCAAAGATGACAGGATGATCTGAGAAGAGTTGAACAGGAAGCATAAACTTCCCGAAACTGAGCTACTTATGGTTATACAGCTTACCCGAGAAGATTTCAAGCACCAAAACCATTAGAGACTCCATCGTGTAGTGTCCGGTATTACTGCTGATTTTGGGGATGTTCTGCTGACCAGTCACTTGGTGAAATCGGAATGCGATGTAAGAATACTACCTGATATAGCATATTCTGAGCCCAATCCCATCAGGAATATCCCTAGGGAATCTTGTGAGACGTTCCGTCGAGGAGGAAATATCGTCGTTCAGGGTGTTCTAAAAAACGCGAACCATGACTATACAAACTATCATATTCTAGAGTGAAAATTCATAAAGCCGTCCTTGGTATTTACGGACGTAGGAACTCAACAGGTGGGGCAACTAGCCAAAAACGGCGGTGACACTAAGCCCTGGCTAATTAATATAATCTCTCTATATTTCAAATGGCGGCTGCTATTCGCGAATCGTTTCGTTCCAACAGAAGTCGGCTACCAACTGGAATTCAGATGCACCTGGACAGGCCACATGATGTCACATGAAATAATCAGACGCCGTCACGCTTAGATTGCATATTAACCAACGGAGAATGACTGATTGACAACCTCGTGGTTACTCTGGAAAAATTGATCATGCCGTCTTAGCCTTCAGTTTTATCAGCAAAACTGAGCTAAAACACTCTGCTAACAACAGGCGTTGGAATTACAACTGTTAGATGTGTCACTGATACAGGTTAATCTACAGTAGGTGGGCTGGGAAGATCCGCCTCAATATGATGCGTACGCACACTTGGATTTCTTGCTGCACACCATCTTATGTGCCACGAAACAGTCTGTCACACAACCAGTCCTCAAATATTACAAGTACTATCAGTCATTGAGAGTCACAAACTTTGAATTCTAAGACGCAAAAAGCACTACAGGGTGAAATGTCAACAAACTAGTGACAATAGTACATACAGACAGTTCAGACAAGTAAAGTACCAATGCGTAAAGGCAATAAGAGAAGACAGACTTCAGTATTAGATGGTGCAAAACCACTTAGCCTGATGTTCTCACATTCGCCAAATCGAGGTACAGTTACAGGGAATTGGAAGCCTACTCATATTACAACAATATTCAAAGGAGGCCAACGTAATGAACCTTCAAGCTACCGGCCGGTATCACTTCTCTCAATACCGTCTACAAATATGAAGTACCTGATATACGGTGATCTGCGTGGCTGCATGTTATCCATAAACTTTTCACACCAACAGCACGGTTTCAGGAAGGGTCACTTTTGTATAATCGAACTTCTGGCCGCGGTCGACGGATGGACAACCAACCTTGACCGCAAGGGGATGGTCGATGTCATATACCATGACTTTTCAAAAACTTTTGATAGGGTCAGTCATATATGTCTTATCAATATGTCCAAACAACTAGGTATGAAGTCACCGTAAATCGATTGGCTTACTTCATATCTTAACAATCGAATTTTTAAAGTCAAGATAGACTTCATGTTTTCAGGCCCTAGAATGTCTTAGTGGGGTCCTTCAGGGTTCGATACTAGGACCTCTCTTTTCTTTGGTTTGTGTAAACGACCTTCCTCAGCAGGTATCGTCAGATTTGTTACTTTTCGCTGATGATGTGAAACTCTGGAGAGAAGTGTGTAAACAAGATGATAAACTTGTACTTTAGGAAGATCTGGATCGAGTTAAAAGTCGAGTGGACAACAACAACACTCTAAAGTATAAACTAGCCAATCTGACACATGTTATAGGCTGAGAATACAACGTAAATAATTCCCCTACAGAGGTCTTCCAAGTTAAAAAAGACTTAGGACTGTTGATAAAATATTATCTAAACTCTTACGTTAACCAAGAGTAGTTAAATGCTGAAGTTATCTGTTGGCTGAGCTAGACCAAGCGACTTTCTGGGAGTACTCTAAGAGAAAAATTGACACATTCTTGGGAAGTAAGGACAGTATCTCACTATAATTTACTAATATGTTTTCTCTTTTATCATCAAATATACCCCAGTTCTTACCTGGAGTCATCGGTGGTCCACTGCTACTAGATGCGGAGACCCGTTAAGCAAAATCTCATTCATTTAAAACTACTTGGGGCTGGGAGAGTTTGTTTTATGTCTGGTAATTTATCACGTTTATCACTAATGCATACTACAACTAGTCTATATCTCTCCTATCATCTCTGTTCCCCTTCTTTCAATTTCATCTCACAAATTATCAGTTAAATAAATTTGAAGATGCCATAAGTATTTTGGTCCACCACAGATGTACAAATTCACAATTAACAACCTACCTAACTGGAATTAGTGTAGTCGAGTGGCTGGACTATCAATTATCAGACTGCAACAAACACCTGGAGCCGTACTAAAACAACAACAAGAAATGAGAGCAAATAAATCAGTTTGTTTATATAAGTCAGTGACAACGAGATTGTATATCGAGCATTTTGAAGGAGGGTAGTTAGACGAATCTCTAATCAGCTGGTCTATGTTGCAGGAGTTTACTGGAGTTGCATAGTCTGCAAAATGGGGGATGAGTCTATTGAATGCCTGTCTAACGACTCTGGAGATTCATGGGATATCCTGAGTAATTCTGAATCTGAAATGGAGCGCGATCCTTCAAGTCAACCGCAACCAAACTGTCTTATCGTCTGTGCCAATTGTGGCGATTTATTGTCTGATGAGTTCCTGCAGTGCTTGTAAGTTAATGAATATAAATCGTCGTTTATTCTCATAGGTTGTGTAAAAATTGCTACGTTTGTATCAAGTGTAAAGCAAAATCTCCTTTAGCTACGAAGTGCACAGAAGTTGGGGAACATTCATTTATACCAGCACTCAGGTTGTTAACATCTAAAGATGTATCTAATTTAGAAGTAAGTCGGTATTCCTCTTTTGATGTAGTTTTGGTGGCAAACTTCGGTATAATCCATTTGCTTCACAATAATTTGTAGTCGTTCATTTACTGTTAATAAGTATACTTTTGTGTAATGCTCCTAGCAGTTGCTCATACAACACAGATTGTTAGACACTTGATGAAGCACCGTTACTTTCCATATACTAAATTGTTATTAGAAATTGTACTAGGTAGTCATTTGAAAAAAATTAAGTTGTATAAACTGAAGAATATTTAGTCTCTTTTGCTGTTTCATTGGCTATTATAATGTTGATCAGTTACTGACTAAACTAAAAGATAAGTTCAAATAGCTAGAGATGATATTAAGTGGCTTTGTATCTATGGCATCATTGTTTAGTCACCTTTGTTAAGAAAACTGAGGTACCCTTACACTTTAAGGGATTCCCAGGCAGCTTTTTATCTGAGCTCTAGTAAACACGGTCGCTCAACTCGAAGATTCTTGACTGTTCCACTTCGTGGCAAAGTGTGACATAAGTTAGATTTAAAAAAGGTGGAGTAACATCCTTTAAAAGACTGATTCATGTATGTAATTAAATGAAATAATAACACATGTAATGCGAAATAGATAAGTTCCAAACATATACATAGGTTTGTTTGCATTTGTTTCTTGGTTTATCTTCAACGCATAAGTAATGATTGCTAGTAAAAACTGTAAGGATCATATCTCTTGATAATATAGTTCAAAAATTTGTCATATATATTGAGATAGTTGACCAAAGATGACGGTAGGTAGTCATTTTATTTGACATTTTCCGGAAGGCAAAGCTAATACTACTTACAAGGTAGGCACTGATTTATCACATTTCAGTTTTTTATGTTCTATCCTGTGTATGTGTGGTAGACCTCTACACGATATGAAAAATAGAAACTTATTCTGTTGTTTACTTAACACACTTCTGTTTTAGTTTTGGAACGTTAGTTTCGACCTCTTGAGTACATTTGATATTCAATATTTCTGCAGCAAGTGTAACAATAATGATCTGTTTTTATAGTGACTGGTCAAAGAGATATAAAGGTGAATGTTAATGTAGTGAGAAATATTCATATTGGTTTGAAGTCTCTTAGTGCATCATGATTTTGTAAGTGGAGTCCCAACAGTTATGAAGCTGAGTTCCGGGACGTTCCTAGTTGTTTTAAGTACAACCTTTAAAAAAACTATGTTTAGAGAATGATTTTATTCCCAGAGGAAGTGTTGCGCAGTATAAAATCTCAAGATACTCAATTGAGTTTACAGATAAGTGTCTTAGAACCTGGTATGTTAGAGATATATGTATGTATACAATTATTTATAAACACGTATTTGTTTATTTATTTGAACACATAAATATTGGTACAAGAGGGCACCAAATATATATGTGCCACACAAAACAATGAGAATGGGAAGAGAAAAAAAACAATAACGAACAGATTAGTGTAAGGTAGTGTAGTAATAGTAATAGTAATGATGGGGGGGGGAACGGAAAGGTACAGTCAGAAGAAATCTTTCAGTTAAGAAAGACACAACCACGTTTTATGAAGAAAGTAAGAGAAGGTTACAGCAGGATCGCCACTGGCTTCTATTCTGAGCCATATCTGATAACGTCTCTAGCCACTGTGTCGCACCATCTCTCGAACCCCAGCCAGGGAGTCGTGAAGGACCAACAGAAGCCAGTCCTTTGCAGCTTTCTTTCATGCCACGACACCATGTCATGCACTGACCACCTCTCCGCTTTTTCCAACCAGTCCCAGAATCGGCAAGTAATACACGACGTGGAATTCTCTGGGATGACATTCGTAGGACATGTCCAAGCCACCGAAGTCGATGTTTCAAGATGGTGACACCAATTGGATTATCGTCTCTGTGCCTGAACACACGATGCCGAACCTCTGCATTACTGACATGGTGTTGCCACTGGATGTCAGCAGTCCTTCGGAGACAACGATGATCAAACACAGAGAGTCGTCTAACATCTTCAACTCTGAGAGGCCAGTTTTCACAAGCATAGAACAGAACTGCTCTCACCGACGCGTTGTAGATCCGACATTTTACAGCCAGACTAACATCACAGATGCTCCAAAAGTGGCCCAGATTGGCATAAGGCGCTCTGGCTTTCACTATACGTGCATTGATCTCATCACTCACGCCACCACCAGCACTTATGCAGCTACCTAGATACACGAACTTCTCGACTACTTCTATTTGCTCACCATCCAGCGTGAATACAGGATTAGAATCCTGCCAGTCCTGTAGAGGTACTTTACACGTCGAAGGGGCAAAGCACATACCGTACCTACGGACATTGATTGCCAACTGATTAAGTGTGGATTGGATGTCTTGGGGATTATCGCACAGTAAGACGATATCATCCGCATACTCAAGGTCGAGAAGTCTTTCTCCAGGCAACAGATCCACACCACCATTACTTACATCCATCAGGGCTGTTTCCAGAATATCATTGATGGCAAAGTTCAAATGGAATGGTGAGATTGGGCAACCTTGTATATGTATATGAATTTATTTGGATGTTTATATGCATGGATCTTTTTCCCTTGTTATTGTTTATTGATCGTATCGCACATTGTAAACTCATGTATTACACTTATCTACTACCAGTTTCTAGTTGTTATAATGTGTTTATTGTTCGAAAAGTTTTAAGGGTCAACAATGTTGATTGTGTTAATGACTGATTGACACCACTAATGCTATATTATGTAATCTAGGCACTCGAATTATTGATCCCATTTTAAGTATAAACCATCCTCACTATTTATATTCCCGTTTGTAGGTTATAATTATTTTTCTATACACTTTAGTATTGACTACTGCGTACATGGTTTTTGAGTAGCTGTACTTATCAATTATTAGTATAAATCTGCTTCCTTGTTTCGACAATCGCCATTTTCCACTTGTATAGTGATAAAATACTACGACTGATGGCTTATCTTAAAATTATGAACGAAACTAGTTTTTATGTAGATTACCACAGTGTAACTCATATGCTACATGCAAGTTCATATACTCGGCTTTAAACTCTACTCTTTCGTATGAGGGATGATGGTACTAGCTGGTTAGTCAGGGCAAATAAAGCAGAACCAGGTTTGGATTTCTTGTCAATTAGTTGAATATCGAGTGCTTTATTCATTGGGCCATCTGTTTACATTGTTATGTAGGCTGCTTAAACATGTGTTTAATTAGTATCAAAATTTCACATCACTTATTTCGTTGTTATTTAATGACCTAAATGGTTTCATTTTATCTTTATTTAGAACTGTGAATCAGATATTCTTAGTTTACCGGAAACTGATAGCACTCCATCAGTTCATGAAGATTTCACTGATATAGACAACTGGATGAAAAGCAGTTCAAATACACAATCACTTACATTATCAGATTTCAATTCCACTAAAGGTGAGGTTGAACAAATAAATTTTATCGCTTCTGAATATAATGTAATCTCATGTATTTGCACTATATTCAAAGCACTTATGAATAAATTGGGTTGTCGATATACAATTGGTTGGTTAAGCCGAACTTTTTGACCTCCACAATCATTGGATATTATGTTTTCGTTCCTATTTTTCAATGATATAACGAGTTAAACTATGTGTTTCAAAAATCTCGTTTGCCTTTTGTCAACTTACGTCACCTATGGCGAAGGTGAGATATCCATCTGTCAATTAAGGGACAAGTAGGCTGCGCAACAGTTCGTTCTGCGAAACGTGACCATTAAGGGTAAAAGATACTCGTAATTTACTAGTATTTGATCATAAATATCTTAGAAATATTGCTCACATCTGCTGGATCACCGGGTAAGTGATGGTGAGACTAGACTCAGGGTATTAGAGAATGATGGTAAATCAGTTGATGAGGTTGCAAATCTTCATCGACTGAGATGGTTGAGCCACGTGTTACATATACCTGAACACCGATTACCACGACGCTCAATGCTGACTAGTGTTGGGGATGGTTGGAAGAAAGTTAGGGGCGGCCAAACTAAAATGTGGCATCAGTCCTTGAAGTGACTAACTTCTAGCCTGAGCGATGTTGGTAGATGCATACTACTTGGTTGGGGTCCGCGCGACTATCATAACCAATGGTTGGAGACTGTGGATGATATGGCTGAGAAGCGATCACAACGGCGTAGGTGTACACACTCTCTCTTCCCTTAAACTGTGAGATTAAAATTGCTTTATACCTTTATTTCTACAAATTAATTCTTTCTTCCTGTATTATATGCTTATACACAATCTTTCTTTTATATATTACTATCATTGAAGTAACTACTTCTATGAATTTGGTGTTCATCTTGTTGTGTTAATGAGGTGTGGCAACTTGAAATGATGCATATATGTGTCTGGTCCTACGTTGTAGCTGACTGACTAAAATTATATGTTGTTATTGATTTGTATTTACATAGCTATACATTATATCCGAGTTACTTTGAATCCTTTCACCATTACAATCGGGCTACCATTTAGGGTTCTCGGTTTATCCATTCCAGAATGGTTAGTTTATATACACTCGTATTCTTTTTTGCCATAGATATTTTGTCTAAAGTAGTCAATTAACTGACCGATCAAAACACAAGAATGAATCTGTAATAATGATATATCATTCCAAGTTTTTTTCACTTAAGAGAGCTACAATGTGAAATAAAAAGTCAGTATACGGTTAAAATTCATAAATAAAAAAAACGTTACCGATAAATCATGAAGAAACAGTCTTTAAATACCATATTAGAAGTTTTGGTTTCGCCAGTTTCGAACAAACTCCGCCTGGAGACGATTTGGAAGATGTAAAAACCTTTACATATCTGGGCAGCATCATTGATGAACACGGTGGATCTGATGCAAATGTGAAGGCGCGGATCTTTAAAGCAAGAGCAGCATATTTACAACTGAGGAACATCTGGAACTCAAAGCAACTGTCAACCAACACAAAGGTCAGGATTTTCAATAGAAATGTCAAGACAGTTCTACTGTATGGGGCGGAAACCTGGGGAACTACGAAAGCCATCATCCAGAAAATACAGGTGTTTATTAACAGTTGTCTACGCAAAATACTTCGGATCCATTGACCGGACACTATTAGCAACAACCAACTGTGGGAAAGAACAAACCAGATCCCAGCGGAGGAAGAAATCAGGAAGAAGTGCTGGATGTGGATATGACACACATTGAGGAAAGCACCCAACTGCGTCACAAGACAAGCTCTCACATGGAATCCTCAAGGCCAAAGGAAAAGAGGAAAACCAAAGAACACATTACGCCGGGAAATGGAAATAGACATGAGAAAAATGAACAAGAATTGGATGGAACTAGAAAAGAAGGCCCACTACAGAGTGGGTTGGAGAATGCTGGTCTGCGGCCTATGCTTTATTAGGAGTAACGGGCGTAAGTAAGTAAGTAAGTTTCAAACAACTTGACAAAACAATAGTGCATCTGTCAAAAGTTGTTATTACACGAAAATAAGAGAAAAAAAGGGGAATGACATTTTCGAATGCCTATTGGAAATGGTCCTACGTCAAGACTTTATTTGACACACTAGTGTTGCTCTTGTTTTTTCACATATAATTATAGAGGTAACTATACACTAGTTTGTATCGCATCTTTTATCTACACGATCGGTTACTATTATTCTAACGCCAAAATCTCTCCTATAATTTTGTTCATATAAAAACTATATAATTTCCTTATCACAGTTTGTACTTTTCCATCTTGTTATAATATGTTTTACACTGTAACTTGCTTACTTTGTGGTTTTTAGGTAATTTAAAGGACATTGGTTTATGTTTATCTACTAAAGTCTTTCAGTACTTCAACCCACACATTTTTATTCTATTCTGTAACATTACCTCCAAATGCCCTGGTACGCCCGAGAGTCGGTAACATTACTCAAAACTCACCGTCTAATTTGTGAAACTGGATATTTTTATTTCCGTTTCCTTGTTAGCTTATATTTTAAAATCATCCATTTTATTGAATTGGTTTGTGTTGTGTGATCACTTGAGATATATATCTGCGTATGATTTCATGCTGATATGTTTGCTTGTCCTTTTGACCCAGTCAGTGTTTATTAGCTAACCGATCATTGATAACATAACTTCATAAGGGAGCCTGTAGTGTTTACTTACTGATTTCAGGTTTGTTGTAGAGCCAAACTTGACCGTATTCATCTAACGAAGGTAAATGAATATCCAGCCTTTTGAGTTTTAACGTATTCTGTTAAAACGACTATTCAACCTTCACCTAGCATGGTTATAGCATCCAGGAATATTCCAGATTGTCCATTACGTCAATGTAAAGTGGTTATCTACGTGTCGATCTATGGCGTTTAGTAGTTTTCATAAACTCGACAACATTTTTTTCTGCTCAACGTAATTATTGATGCGTGTTGCATAATTTCTCCATATACATCTTGGATGGATGTGAACGGAGCTAATGGAAGTTGACATTCAATACTGTTATTCTGCAAATAAATTTCCTCAATTAATATTTCGATTTGCTCATATTGAAAGAGATAGTTATCAAACTGGAATACTCTGGAGTTCTGCATCATTATCATCAAGAGGATGTAAACATCATATCTATTAAATAAGTTGATGGCTACCTAGAATTGTTAGCTCAACGGATAATCCATTAGGATTTGAAGCGTAAACTATTAGTTTGAATATTTGTGTAAACATCAACACTGGGATGAAGATACATCCAGTTAACTGACGAGTCCTAGATAGTTTTCCTGACGTCACTTCTGACTGCTATCCAATGATGATAAAAGTTTACATTAAAAACTCGTTTAAGTTTCAAGTGATCTGTTGCTAAAGTCACATGTTTAACACAAAATGGAAATTTAAAGTCAAATGGTCTTTTTTTTATTAATCCAAGCAGTTTAATTTATCGATTGTTCTTTGTTTATGGAGTAGTAATAAAACTCCACACATTTCCGTAAACTAGTTCTATTTGTTTATTGTTTATGTTGAACTTTAATTGGTCGATTTCTCATATTGAACAATTGAAAATCAAATTATTCTAATTAACTGCTTCCAATAAGAAACACATTATATCGTGTTATAACAGTGAATATTTTACTAATATGGATCTATATAGTGATAGTAGTAGTAGTAGTAGTAGTAGTAGTAGTCAGTCATATAGAGTATTGTTTTAGATAGTTTTTAATGTATTTTAAAATAATATTCTTTTGTTCTCGGTATATCAGTATCATAGTTAATGTGCCAGGTTGAACAAATAGTGCTTGAAGACTGTCGTTTAGTCCATAGTGAATCATATGACATTTGAGTTTATTGAATATTATTTAGTAATTATTTGTTCATCTTGTTCCAAAGTGATTTTAAACTAAGTAGTTGACGTTCATCACTACAAGACTTCTTCCACTTTACTAGAGCTATAGATTAGTGTTTAAAGGACCTGACTTTCAATCAATAATTTTCATGTTGGAATCTCACTCTATGTGAACCGGTTTGAGCAGCGTGGCAGCGGTAGTTAGCCGTCATACAAGTAGGGTATATCTCAAATCAAAGTATATACGCTTGTGCTTGACACGGGTTAAAGTTGAGTCCAATGAACAAATATAATCACTCTTGTCGATGGATGTACATCATGCGTTAGTCATTTGGTGTATATTTGCTGTCCAAAATCTGAAATATAGTACTGGCACATTAATTGTTATAGAACTTCCAAATATCTACAGTTTTTTAACTGCAACTATTTATAGCAAAGTGGTTATCTTTTCATCTTGATTCATATCTCTGACGCCACATGGACAGTAGTCTTAAAATACGACTGATTACCAGTTAAACAGTAGCCTGCTAAAGTCAATTACTTGACTAGATTTTAGGCAGTTTCATGGCATAATGTTTCATGTAAAAAAATTATTAGCCTTCTTATGTGTAATTTCTATGTATTCACTGTAGTCATTAAACGTTTTATGAATGTCAAGTTTTTTTATTTTTGTAAGAAGCTAAATACCTATAATTCATTCGTCTTAACATTCGATTATCAACTATCAGATTATTATAATTGCTTAACTAGGGAGCAGTATCGTCGAATTCTCAAATAGGATTGTGTTTTGCAGGTCAACACATTCATATTCAACCGGAGCAACTGAATCTAACATTAAACTATAAATTAAACATGTATTCAGTTTATCAGCATATGTGGTAAAAGTTATAAAATTGAACACTAAAGCTGTAGCCTTGAGGTTGAAATGTGAGTCTATATTTTGAGATATTGAGTGGTTAAAAGTAGTCGACAAGAAACTCTTCATATGGGTTTCGTGCTATTTTTTTAATCGTCACTAAGGTGTGCTTGTAAACTTGAGGGATGCGATGCCTCCTGGCGGATTTTATCTCATATCACCGTATTACACAGTCTGAGATATTACCACTTAGAGATTCTCGCCATGACTGACGTATTATAGATATAAGATATTTACAAGTGATTGATCACTGAGTAGTGATCACTGTCGTTATTGTGTAGTCTTTTAACATTGATTAAATTCCATTGACCTAGCATCTCAATATAGTGCTCACGATGACGAGTCATTTAGACCAGTGGTCAGACTGCAACTCGATAGGTAGAATCTGATCATTGCCAAGAGGATTAGGCAAACATGACATTGGTCATTACTCAGTGACTAACCAGCTTTAATTTCCAGATCACTGAGTCAGTCACAACTATACAAGCAATTAGTAATAGTGTATTTCTATTCTATTATTTTAGAATATGTCGAAGTTGAGGCTGTTCCATCTAGTCCTACTACTGATGAACATCAAGATAAGAAATGTTCAAATAAACTATCACAAGGTGACAGTTCAATTTTAAATGTTTTATTACAATTTTTACGAAATAACAATCAATCGACAATAGAACCAAGTTTATTCGACTCAAAATTGTTACTGGCATCAAATTTAGAGGTGAGTAATTCATTTTCTTATGATTATTTCGATGAAATTAAATTGTCTGGAGGATCTTGACTTAATTCATCATTTATTGGTTGTTTGAATCTTCCTATTAATATGTTAAGGACTGCAATTGATCAGTCTCTTGTATTTGCGTATTTGCATCTTGTGCGGAGAACTTCGAACTCTTCACTTCTACCTGAAGCTTGTGCTAATGATGTCGTTCAGAATAACAATGAAAGCTCCACGACCAAACCATCCAGCTCAGGGAATAGAACTCCATCAAAAAGGATTGTCTCGATATTGCCATTGAGTTACAAGCATTATAAGCGGAGATGGATGGTGGCTAACAGTTCTCAACATCTGTGTGGAGATTCAAACAAGTAATACAAATGACTTAAAATTCACCGCATAGCATAAGCCAGGGGCTATCTGGACTTGCTAGCTAAGTGAATAACGCACTCAGTATTGGGTTCGAGTCTCGGAGTGAAAATTAACTCTGGGTACATCCAACTGACGAGTCTCTAGTGTGACGAAACACGCGACCTGGTTTTGAATGCTAGCCACCATCCATCTCTGTTTATAATGGATCTCGATTTGTTTTTCAGTCCCGCATGATAAATTAGCTAGAGCAGTTAATAGAACATTTTATACAGCCAACCTTGTGTTGACATTTTTTAGTAGACCAGGATAAGTTACTTGAGTTTACCTCCTTAATGCGCATCTTAAAATTCAGCTGCTCCCGTGGCGATAGCTATATTAGTTGTACTACCAGGCAACTTAACCAAAGAATGAGTGTACATCTCCCAGTTTGTTTTGGATAGAGTCAGACAAAGACAATACGTAACTCTATCTTGACACACTTGATGGATAGTTGGTATGACTACACAGAATTTAAAATAGAAGTTTTACTTCTATCTACTCATACCATGACCATTGATTTGAATATTTTCCCGTTATCATATCATGTAAATTATATTCGTTTGACAATCCGCTTATCATGTGTTCATCGCTTTTATATATCACCACTATTTTAGAATCAGGTGACTCACGTTGTTAGCCAATAACCACATGACTAGAATATTTCGTCGCTGTCTGTTTTATATTAGTTTATGATTACCTAACTGTCGTATTTATACATTACTGACTATGACCTTGTACGTTGTATTTTGATTGGTTGCTTTATTCATAGTTTATGTATCTAGGTTACCAGAAAAATTTGACTAGGTTATTTTAATAAATGAAATAAAAAAATTTTTGATTTCGATTTTATAAAACTGGACAATAACAATTCGATGCTGATATTTTTGTTTTCCTGTCGTACCATTCTCGACTATTATTGTACAAAATTTCAATAAAGCAAAACATAATGTGACACATGTCGGTTAGGCTCAAAGACCAAATGTACTTTCTGCTGTTTTGGTTTTTTTTCTGTACTGTGTTTCATCAGACTACCAGTCAACGGGTCATGGGTAACGTGCAGGACAGCATACTACAGCTGTTTATCGCCTTAAGTTTACACAACACACATTATCAGTACAGCGAGAGTCTGAATTAAGAAGATGAGAAAAGGCAATAGTCATATCTTTTAGGATGGAAACTTAAACTTGAGATGTTGAAGTATAGGAGCATATATTGGTACTAAGCTCAGTACATTAGAGGAAGATAAAGCATAAATACGATTGTTCTACTGCAACTAATTTTTGACTTTTATCAAATGTCTTCAATTGTAATTATTACAATTAAAACAACTTTTGGATACATTCAACTCTTTCGAAAATTCAAAGGATTCGTTACCATAATATTGCAAATAATGACAATAACATTGTCATTCATTCGTTGCCCAAGGTACAAATTCATGTGTTTAGGTTTAAACCACACTTTATATATGAGAGATAACTATACTACCTGGTTACCCAGACCAAAGTAGATGAATCTGGGTTCAGACATGTGATTTAGTGACTGAAAGTCAAGTGCCTTAACCACTGAACTATTGCTACACTTTCCAACTAATTACTAGTCAGTGTATTCTATTCGATCTCCTTTTTAGTTTTAAGCGAGCAGTTTCACAGCATCTAAAAAAAACCCAGTGATAATAAAAATAATAATCCAAAGTGAAAATGTTATCAAATGCAGTCATATGAAATTTTGACTAATTCCCATCAATCGAGGAAGTTCAAGCTATAATATTGATCAAAGTATCGAGGTTTTTGTTTTACAAAAATAATTTTTTTCATGGCTACAATAATTTTGTTTATCATTTGAAGTATACTTCCGATTTACGTGTCAGTGTGTGTAACATAAAAGTCATACGACTACACCATCTTATTTTGTCTAATTTTTCTTTCTGACAAAAATTTCATGAATCGTTATGGCTTAATATTTGAATTTGTTATGAGATTTCTACATCTAACAATAAAAGTCACTCTTACAAAATTATAATAAATTTCTTATTGCAAAGAATATGATATTTTTTTTGTTGCCAACATCATATTTAAATGAATCCAGCTACTAGTACTTGTACTACATAGATTTATTGGTAAGAAGTAATGATGAATAGCTATTGTCTGACTACTAAACGTAGATATATACATATTTCTTGTTCTATTTGACCGATAAATGTATTATTTAGTGATTAATATCAGTTAGTTGAAGATGGTTTTGAAGATTGGATTAGATTTTTTTAAAAATACGTTTTATTACAGGTTCTTGTTATTGTCGTCTTTGAGCTGAATTTTTATGGACTTAACGCGTTTACATATTCGGACTTGGATCAAGTCATGTTTGGAACCTTGGTAGATAAGGCATGAGTTGACCTGGAGCACTATTGATTGAAAGCTGAGTACTTTTATTAATACGCTACCACCCTCTAATAGAATAAAATTCACCAAGTGTATTCGGTTTGTAGTCACATTTTTTGTGTACCGCAGTTTTTGACCCGGTCAGCTTCTCCGGTAATCGGGGGTTCAAGTCCTACCACCGAACGCCATGGCGTTTAACTTTCAACCACTAAGTCGCATGGTCCAACTACATTCTACCTACATTGGTTTGCATCCTAACGCTTATAGTGTCCTGAAGCTAAGTGAATGAATGTGTACCTGGTGAACGAGTGAAGTATCACAAGTTCATTGGGACTTGTAATTAGAACACTATATATATAAGTTTGGGTGTTTTTTTTAGCTTCATTCTTATAAAATCCTAGACGTTAGTTGATTGCATTCTAAATAGTTTAAGTATTAAGAGTTGCTAATGGAGATGCTATTAATTTTTGTTTTTCTCTCCTCCTCTTTATTACCAGTCATCTTTTCCAAAAACATTTCATCCACATCATACAACTGTTCAGAATGTTTTACTAAATATGGATGATAGTTCAGCTTTTCAATCATGGTTCAATTTGGGTAGTTCACTGGGGAATACACGTCGTAAACAAGAAAGTTTATCTTCTAATTCTTCTTCATCATCATTATCATCTGAACCTAGTCCTGAAAATATATCACAACATTATGATTCCTTTCCGTTAATAACAACATCACTTGTTGGTGTAACAAGTGGTCGCTTCACAGTTTCATCATCATCACCACCATTAACACCAACAACAATACCAACGGCGCTGAAAAGAGAATCACTCGTTGGATCATCTGGTGATAATAGCCCAAATCGTTCAAGTTCCTCTTCAGATTTCTCGCCTCAATCATCAATCTGTTCACTTTCATCTTCACCATTAGGAGCTGCTACTCAATTCTTGAAATCGGTTGTTAAGTAAGGTCTTTAAAGTTTTAAATCGACTATCTTATCTGTTGATAGAAGCTTTTTCTTTGTAAATAAATTATTACAAATAACCTCATATTTATTGAACACGTTAGTGGTTATTTGGACGACACGTTTTTGGCGTGTAAGGTGACAGGTACATACTGGGTTCGATTGTCAGCATAAATATTAACGCTGGGGTACAGATACGTCGAGCTAGCTGACTAGTCCTCAATAAGACGGAACGCATATCCCGAATTCTATTTCTAACAATTATTCAGCCACTCTAGGAAATTATAAATAATGTCATTTGATTGCATCATCCCATCCATTGTGCAACTGATATTACTGTTTATAAACTCTTGTCATATAATTATTATTAGTAGTAGTAATTTACACTGGTTAAATCTTCATGATTATCATTTTGATGCCTCATTAGTTCGCCTGTAATTTTTTCATTTCGGTCTATGTGGTCATCTCTAAAAAAAGGTGTTGTCAGGCGGCTTGTTAGTTTGTAATAGTCAGGCTGTGATTCTCATGATAATTCTATGTCTGTCAACCACCAGATTTTGATTTCATTTGTATATGGTACATTTGCGGGCTCTCTTTTAGTATATGATACAGTCACTGAGTTAGTCCCATCAACAGCATAGGATCTGGTACATATATGTTTCAACTCAGGTTATCACATTGCTTAAAAAAGAGCAACCAATTTTCTTATTAACCCACAGTCTAAGGAAACACTGAAAGTGATTGCATCTGGGTTACATCACCCAAAGTCTCCAACCACTGATTACGATGATTTTACTCTAGTCATATTTGTACCCACCTATACGGCTCTCTTAAATGAACAATCAATGGATTCTCAGGCTTACAGTATGTCCTGCTTTGGCCACTCCTAGCTTTTATCTAAAAAACTAATATATTAGTAAATATCGTCTATCAAGGTAGGTGGTTGTTAGGCTTACGTAATCTATATTATAACTACCTCAATCGTTAAAAACTCATCATCTTATCAACTGGTTTGCCATATTTACTTAGTGCATCTCATTTAACTTCAACATTCTCCCTTATTCTCATACTTTGTCAACAACACAGATATATTTTCATCAATGGACATTATTAATAGATGTACCAGTTAAAATAATTGCATTAAGAGAAAATCAATGATCAAACAACAAAGATGATCAGAAAAACTGATGTTCATCCATAATTTCCTTTTAATTGGTGTGTGTGTTTATCTTCAATCCAGTCAACCAATTACGATTAATTCATGTTCGTGTATCCGCTTATTTATCCTTGTCAGTTTATAAATTCGCTATTTGGGATATATTTGGATCAACAAATTTATATTTTGTTTCTCTATTATTTTAAGGAATAAAACTAGGGATTGTTTATCTGAATCATCTAATTTAAACCGGATTATTCGTTTTATAGCTTAGTTTGTAAACGAATATCAGCTAGATAACCACTGTAAATCAGAAAACATTGAAAAAATGATTAATTCTAGTGTGCGAATCATCGGTACTGGGTTCCACGACCATGTTGTGGGCTACTGGAACCATTATCTATAAACCAATGAATCGGCGTTTAGTATTGTGTGTGTAACTCTAATCAATTAAAAATTTTATGCGACCATTTTCTATTGCTTGTGGTGGTTAACTATCTTACACTCGACATGGTTTAACTCCAGTAATGACGGCTTATTCTTATACACTTACTTACTTGTACTCATTACCCTCATGGAGGACCATAGACCGCCCACCATCATTCTCCATTGAACTCTGTCTTGGGTCATCTTTTCCAGTTGCTATTAATCCTTTTGATGATTCTGATTCCCGACGTAGTGTGTTCTTTGACATTCCTCCTTTCTGTCTCCCTTCAGGATTCCAAGTTTGCCCTTGCTTTGCGATGTGGCTTGATGGTTTCCACAATGTATGTCCTATCCACTTCCAATGTCTTTTCCTAATTTCCTCTTCAGCTGGAATACTCTTATAGACAGTATATGTAAATGTTTATAGTTAAACTAGGGATCATCAATTAATTTATTATAAACTCGTTTGTCAGAAACTGGGTACGTGTAATGGAGAAGATTAGTTGTTGGAATGAATACTTTTAGTGATGTTATGTGTTTTTACTTGAAGGATAGTTTGATTGTCGGAACCTTTATCGTCGTTATAGGCCCTATTATCGGCTACTTCTTATTGAAATGTTCCGTTTTTAGTGATTCCTTCACTTCTTCCTGATTTCATTAATACGAAACCTGTTGAATAACTAAACAGCTCACCTCTACGTAAACCAAGCTCTAATAATGTCCAGAATAACAATGAAAGCTCCACAGTTAAAGTATCTAGCTCAGAAAACAACACCACCAATCGATATGTACAGTTTTCTTTGAGCTACAGTGATACTACCTAATTCTCAAACAGAAGTAGGGTGGAGCGTTGTCCGAACCTGCTATATAATAATCAGAAGTTGAACGTTGTAATCACTAAGCAACTGCTCGGCTACCTAATTAATATAATTCCGTCATGCTGATTGTTGTTGTAGCCACATGAGATATTTACTGAATCCTGTCATTATGGAAGTATGACTACTATTATTTGTTTCTATGTTACACACCGTAACTTTATAGGTTGCTAAAATCGAACTGTCAAATGTGAAAGTAATTCTTACTGAATTTGCGTTGAAATGGAGTTAGTTTATTCGTCTCTTGCTTCTAATTATTATATTAGTAAAAGTACTATCTAACCGCGTATATGATGATCTCCAAGTCTATATATTAGAAATGTTTTTCGTAGGTGCAAATCACCAAATTTATCGGTTTATGTGGTCGACTTTTAGCTATATTGTTTGTGTAAATAAGAGTTAGGGATACTTCATGTCTGTCTAAATCGAAGTAATTGAACCAGATTTTAAGCCTGTGGCCTATTGTTTTTAGGAGGTCAACTGTTATTAATTCTGTTCCTCTTAAATGGTTATCTCTTTATGATTAAAGGTTTGTAGAGATTGTGGATTGACTTTGACTAGATAACCACTAAAAACCGAGAAGCATTCGGCAAATGTTTCATCCTAGTATGGAAATACTCAGCAGTGCACCTCTGCAATCCTATCGAGACTCAATCTGAGGACCTTCCAAGAGTCTTAAAGAGGCCGTAAACGCTAGATTATGGAGTCAATATGTCGTGATTTTACCCAACCATTTTCCAATCCGATTGGTAGTCAACTTCCTCGGGGTTTCTTACTAGAAATACGCTGGAAACCGCTTCTTGAAACTATTGACTAATGGGCCCCATGATTATGATTATTAGTTGAATTCCATATAATTCAAATATAATTCTTTTGTTTTGCTTTTGATATGAAGATTAAAAAGACTAGATTTAACAGTCTCATTTTATTTAATTTATTTCAACACATAAATATTGGTACAAGAGGGCACCAGATATATATGCGCCACACCATATTTGTGTGTGTGTGTGGACTGTAATACTGCCCGGGTGCCCAGACCGAAGCAGGTGGTTTTCTTAGGGGACCACACCTCGAGCCTTTGACATAAAGGTCTGACCCGCAAGGTAATGGAGCATCGTGAGGAGATGCAGTCCCATGGTAGCCGGTGACCAACAATTGGTTCATACGCCATTTGTTCCCGCAGGATACTGGAGCCCATGTGCACCATTGGTTTGGAATCGGGTTAAAGCGCCGGACATTCGCTTTTCGTCCTCTCATTTTTGAAAACAACACCCCTGGTGTGAGAAGGCAGTGAGTAGGACTTCCCTGGCAGAGGCTATATACGCGTGGGCGTGTGAGAGCATTTCGAGAGGGAGGATATTAATTGTTTGTTGAATAAGCGACCCATAAGCTAATTTTCACTAATTGCCTTCAACTTTTCATGATGTTTTTTTGTGTTCTTGTTAGATATTCTGCTGCCGCGTTGAATAATTTCGATTTATTGTCATTAGATCAAACAGATGATATACCTGTGGATAATTGGTCTAAACCTTTTACTTCTACTACTACTGCTACTACCACTAATAATAATAATAATAATAATAATAATAATAATAATAATAATAATAATGATAAACAAAATATCCAATGTAATAATTCATCAAGTAAACAAAATTCCTCATTATCACTATCATCATCAGTATCATTAACACCAAGCTATTTTCCTAAATCTGTTAATATTAGTAATAATTGTAATATTAATCATACTATTGGTATAAATACTGCTGTCAACTCCATAGATAACAATAATAAACGAACTGTCTGGGATAATGAACGTTTACGTGAAATCATCACTGCTAAACCATTACCATCTACTATAACTGAAACATTTGCATATAATTTACGCTAAATTCAATTTGTTCTTTATGAGAGAGAGAGAGAGAGAACACAACAACAACAGAATTATTATTTATTTGTTTATTTATTTCCTCTTTTCTGTTTATTATTTAAACAAAAATACACATTTACATACATATATACATCTATGCCTATTTATAATAAATTCAATGAACATTGATTTACTTACTTACGCTTGTTTACCCCCTTATGGAGGAGGAGGAGGAGCATAGGCCGCTCATCAATATTCTCTCATCCAACTCGAAACGTTAATAGGATTGCATGAATTTGTTTGTTTACTTTACATCAAATAACTATTCAATTTAAATTTTAATATACATTTAAACATTCATAGATACATAATGTATTTAGGTGTTATATGTTATCCATGTTGTTGGGTTTATTTCTTGTAATATGCAATTAATCATTATATGATTTATAAATTCAGCTGTTTGTTACGTAATATTCATCATCATCATGATGATATGTTTATAGGACATTCATAAATGTTTATTCCTGTGTACATTTACTATAAAATGTATCATATAAAATTTCTTCTATGTTGTTACCATGGAAAGAACCAATATATAAAAGGAGATTGTTGCCAAGCGCTGGTGTTACATAATACGAATTAAAAATTATTATTATTATCAATCCAATCTCTTTCCTAAACTTTATTTCATATCTATTTAAAATAACTTTTAATTAAATTCATTTGTTATTGTAAAATTATTAATAATTAACATGAATGAGATTTAATGAATCATTCAAACTTTTTTGTTTTGTTTTGGTGTTTATTCTTTAAAATATTTTATGTCATAAACTTGATGTTTATTGTCCAAGACTTTGTTTATTTGTTTGTTTGTTTTCCAAGGAAAAAGAAGAACATTTCCATTGTAAATTATTCCTTCATGTTGATTTAAATCAAGTTTGAAATGGTTGTTTTTTATTTGTGATAAATTATTATTCATTTTATATATTGTTACATCTTTGATATGTTTACTCGATAATATACAAGAGAGAACTTGTCCTGAATGCCTTGACACTATAGGTTAACTAGTTCAACTTTGAGACTAGAAATACACGTCTAAGTTGAGACTAATGGCTTTAAGCAGAGAGATGGAAACTATTCTGTCATCTAATTGGTTAAGAAAAGAACACTACTCGATTTATTCCTGATTAAACCCGATTTAGATTAGTGTATAAAAATATATGAATAAAGAGATGACTAGCACAACTATAACATACAAACAATTAGAAAAATACATTTATGTCCAGGGTAAAAAATTTCTGCAGTACAAAAGATTACGTTTAAGTTACAATAGCTTTAGACTAGAAAAGGGTATGTCAGTGAATCATGCATCAACTGGAAATTGTGGTTTAGAGAATCACCATGGGCAAAACTAAATGTCAGTATTCCATTAAATTGTTAGTCATGACTTCTTTATTTCTCTATTCCTATCAAGTATATTTCCGTTCTGAATCGTAACCGTGACATTTTTTTAGTACAAGGTACATAGAATATATTCGAATAAGTGGGAAAAATCTACAAAATTGTGTCCCTTTGTTTGTTTGTTAGATTCATCTAATAAGTGGATTTCGTTATATATTACCACTAAATATGTATTAGGGAATGATGGTAAATCAGTTGATGAGATTGTAAATCTTCATCGACTGAGATGGTTGGGCAACGTGTTACATATACCTGAACACCGATTACCACGACGCTCAATGCTGACTAGTGTTGGGGATGGTTGGAAGAAAGTTAGAGGCGGCCAAACTAAAATGTGGCATCAGTCCTTGAAGTGACTAACTTCTAGCCTGAGCAATGTTGGTAGATGCATACTACTTGGTTGGGGTCCGCGCGACTATCATAACCAATGGTTGGAGACTGTGGATGATATGGCTGAGAATCGATCACAACGGCGTAGGTGTACACATTCTCTCTTCCCTTAAACTGTGAGATTAAAATTGCTTTATACCTTTATTTCTACAAATTAATTCTTTCTTCCTGTATTATATGCTTATACACAATCTTTCTTTTATATATTACTATCATTGAAGTAACTACTTCTATGAATTTGGTGTTCATCTTGTTGTGTTAATGAGGTGTGGCAACTTGAAATGATGCATATATGTGTCTGGTCCTACGCTGTAGTTGAATGAATGACAAATATGTATGAAATAATAATTTCTGAAACTCAGTTGTATCTAGAAGGTTAACAAAAGCCTAGAAAAATATTAGGAACTTCTTTGTCTACTTATTATTGATAGATTTGTAGAAAACAATTATCTTGGATGTTGAGGCCCACTTTGTTTAGTGATTTAAGTTAGTTGTGCAATAGGCAGACATGATTAGCTCGTTTATCATGTTATTTTTAATTGGTCTTTCGTTTGAGATTGTAGCAAGCGGTAGTACCGAATGAATATCATCAATTTTTTGTTTAACTCGAAGATAAGTGATTTAGTGTTCCTACAACATATGATCGATTATTTGGCCGTGTGGGTTATTGAATATCGTCAATATCTTTGTAAATGTACAGTCTAGAAGATCATTAAACACCTGACATTTGACTGGAATCATGGTGTTTCACGGGTTCTAGAAATATTAGTGATAACAGCCGTGCATTTTTTAAGGCTGATTTGTGAACTATGAGCTATTATTTATTCGCTTTGTACAGCCGTTTAGTCTTTTGATTACATTGAAGAATTGATAATTGGTAAAGCATATTGCATTACCCAAGAGTGCGTTGGTAATATAATTTTGATCAGTTTAATAAGTAAGTAATTGTATGTACTGTGACTGATTTATGTGTAGTATATATTTGACATGTCTAAGCCATAACCGATGTAAAAGCTTAATATTTTAATGTATAATATTATCTATCTCACGCATGATTATTTTATTCTTGCCATTATGAAACTAAAATTATAGATATAGGGGTTGTGGAGATTATTAAGTTTCTGATTGGGATTGATGTTAGACTACCTCAGTACAACGGAAGTTGGTCGCGCAATTTCGTGGATTGGTTGATGTTAGAAACTATCACCATTGGATGCCGGCTCAATGGTCCAGTTGGTTAAGCGTTCGCGCGCGAGACCGAAGGCCCTGGGTTCGAGTTCCGCGAGCGGGATCGTGGATGCGCACTGCTAGGGAGTCCCACAATAGGACGAAACGGCCGTCCAGTGCTCCCAGGTTTTCAATTGTGGTGGTCTAACATCAATCGGTTCATGATCTCAATCAAAAACATAAAATTATAGATTTACAGCTGGCCTAATTATTTGGATGTCATGTAAATTCTCATTTTTTAAAATGGAAGATGAAATGAAGTTGAGTTTTGTCTTTTGTAGTCAGGAGTAATAGGATTTTATTCATTTTGATAAATTTATCTAAGTAGATGAACCCAGCCATTAACTTTGTAATGGTGAATATCAAGAAAAATGTACAGTACACTACTTCATTCTCGATAAATAGATGCTTGATATATTTTGTGTAAAGCATGTAGCTCTCTCTATCCCAGTCTTAAGATTTTAATGCTTTTTTTCCTATAACTCACTCTCTTTTTTTAATGGCTTTATTCAATATTATATTTTGGTACAATATAGAATTCTCAGCAATCCCGTGCGATCCCGTCAAACTTTGTAATGCATCATTAATATTGTAGTGAGCAGAACACCCTTGGGGACAATCGAATGTAATTAACACAAAACTACAGGACTTGTTAATAAAATCTAACAATCATAAAGTAAATACTTAATTTGCAAAATGTCCATCGATTGTTTCAAAATGACTCAGGCTTGATTGTTCTTGCATTTTCATACAAACTGCATTCTGTTTCCATTCTTTACTGTTCGATCCTCTCGTCTGTGCTGCCAGACCTTCTGTTCACGAGTAACGTCACATACTACTTATGTCAATATAAGTAGCACACACCACATTATTATTATCTAATGTTGCAAATTATTAGTTCTAGTGTTAATTAAATCCATAAAATCTAGTTAATTGTACATATGACCTCCCCAAAACGTTGATAGGTATGGTTTTCCATTGATTGTTTTCAGTTAAAGGGATATGATATGTAGTTAGAGTTCGAGTGTAGGACTGATTATATCATATTCATAGTTAATTCTAAACATTCATGATTTTTGAAGTTAAATATAATAAGTAATAGACACTGAATTAAGTATCTTGTAAAAGTTTCTTGAAGCATAATCAAATAATGAAATGAAGCCGTATATAACTCTGGATAATCGAATTGACTAACGTCTGTGATGATGATAATGATGAACTGTTGCAGTGATGAAAAATTTCATTCATTTCTCTGCTTTATTTGAATTTTCTACTCATGAACTACCAGAGAATTTAGCTGAAATGATTAACGATGAAATAATCAGTTGAAATAGTGAGAATATTTATTCAATTAGAAATTTTCTATAATTTTACATGATATGGAATCAATAGAGTAATTACAGATTATAGATCAAGATCAGGAAATTGTTTAATAACATGAGGTGAAGGTTATGTAAACTGAATATGAAAAGGTTACCTTGGCAATCTTTATAAATTAGTGTATATACATATATATTATCTTAAGTAAAGAAGGCAACTTTTATGACTAGTGATCGATAGGGAGTTTATTTTTACAATTATAATATGTTTTAGGACAACCTTTGTGAAAATATAAACTTTGCTGTATGTACCATGATTTCGGTAACCGGTTACTATCACCAATCCTCAGAAAGAAAGTGTGAATAAAAGTTGGATACATAAACATATTTCTTGTATTCAATAATAGAGTTAGTTGATTAAGTATTATCCGATGTATGTCAGGTTAATGAACGAAAATTTGTCCTGTATACATAGAAGCAGTTTCATGATAGATGGTTCTTAATTGAACAAATATTACGATTTAGTTAGATGTTTCATACGACTTTAATAGACTTCAACAATACAGTTTCATAATCTAGAACAAGATTAAACTATGAACCTTTTGTTCATTTATCTAACTACTA